GGCCACTGCACTCCAGTCTGGGCGACAGAGTGAGACTCCAACTAAAAAAAAAAAAATTTCAAAAATTTTTTTGCCATGCTTATACAGAAGCTATTCAAACGAACCTATATATAAGACATAGTAGCAGCTCTTGAATGTAGTTTTGAGAGGAGACCAGAGATTGTTGGAAGTTGATATCAAAGAAGATACCCATGTGTCCACACAAAGGATCCTGTCAAGGAAAGAATATTGAAGTGTATTGTATTAGTCAGAGTTCTTCAGAGAGAGAGAGAGAGAGAGAGAGAGAGGGAGAGAGAGAGAGAGATCCAGAAAGAGATTTATTATAAGGAATTGGCCAGCCTGATAATGGAGGCTGAGAAGTCCCCTGACCATCTGTCTATGCAGGCCCTCAATAGATTGGATGATGCCCTGAGGAGAGAAGTCTACTTCTACTGATTCTACCAATCCAAATGCTAATCTCTCATCCAGAAGCACCCTCACAGACATACCCAGAATAATGCTTAATCTGGATACCCTATGGCCAGTTAAGTAGACACATAAAATTAACCATCACAGTAGGCATCATTTAATCGACTGAGCTTTGTTTTTCGGGAGAACCCTAGGTAAATATACCCACCAAATTGGGGAGAGCAATCTGGTCTACTGAGTGCACTGGTTCAAATGCTAATCTAAACTAGAAATACGCTCACACAGACACACCTAGACATAATGTTTAGCCATATAGCTGGGCATCCCCTGGTCCAGTCAAGTTACACAATAGATTTAATCATGAAATAAGAATCTGACTCAATACAGCAGAGCTTCTATTCTGTGCTTTTATCTATTACAAGATCACAATTTACTTCTTGGGAATGTCCTTTATGAATTTCCAATGCTAGATCTCCCTGACCTCAATACTCACTTCTAGAACTCATCCCAGGCACTTTGCCCAACTTTCCTATAAAACAAGTTTTGGTAAAAACTACTATGGAGAAAGGAAAAGATCAGGCTCACACCACTTTTCTAAAATCAATTTCTTCTTTACCTTGATAGCTGTCTCTCGGCCTACTCTTGTCTTGTCTGTTTGTTTACTTTGAAATTGGAACTTCTTTAAGGCTTTCTTATGAAGATGCTCACTTATTCTCCATTATTTGGGGTGGTGATTTTTACTATACTGTCTACTTCCTCTAACTGATCCTGTGTATCTTCTATCTTCTAATATTCATCAGTCTTTATTAGCTGCTTTTTCCCTTTCTTGTTTTCTATCACTACCATGTTTTGATTCTTTAAGCTTGTCTGTTTTTTTTTTCTTAATGTGACATAAGGACAGAAGGAAGGTAGAAGTGTGTTCTCAGTTTGCCATCTTGAACCATACATTTATGTGTATGTAACATGTATCAATTTTAAAGCATTGATATATAATTCATATATCATAAAATTTATAAAATTCATAAAATTTATCCTTTTAAAATGCAAAATTTAGTTATTTTTAGTACACTCACAGGTTATACAACCATCAATACAATTTAGTTTCAGAGCATTCTTATCGTCCCATAAAAAAACCCCATATCCATGAGGAATCACTTTCTATTTTCCATTCTACCTCTCATTGTCTGTCAGGCACTAATTTGTTTTACTTACTGTCTTTGCACATTTGCTTTTTCTTAACATTTCATATTTCATTTAAATGGAATATTACAATATGTGTCTCCTTTGTGTGTGACTTCTTTTGCGTAGCATGTTTCAATTTATATTATGATGTTTTCATTTAATTGATTTTTTTTTTTTTTTTTGAGTTGGAGTCTTACTCTGTTGCCCAGACTGGAGTGCAGTGGCCGCTACCAGCCACCGAAGCCTCGACCTGCGGGGCTCCGGCGATCCTTTCGCCTCAGCCTTCGGAGTAGCCAGAATTACAGGCATGCGCTACCATGCCCAGTTGATTTTTTGATTTATTGTAGAGGTGAGGTCTTGCCAAGTTGCCCAGTGGGTCTTGAACCTGCGGGCTCAGGCAATCCACTCGCCTCGGCCTCCCAAAGCACAGGATTACAGGCTAAGCCATCGAGCCTTAATTGATTTTTCATCCTTGCATTCCTAGGGTGAATCCTGCATAATCATGGTGTATAATTATTTTTACATGTTCATGGATTCAACTTTTTAGCATTTTGTTGAGAAATTTTGCATCTATATTAATAAAGAATTGGCTTATAGATTTCTTGTGATATCTTTGGTTTTGTTAATGAGATACTTTTGGCTTTATAGAGTACATTTGGAAGCATTACCTTCTCTTCTAGTTTTTGGAAGAGTTTGTGAAGGATTGATGTTATTTCTTCTTTAAACTTTAGGTAAAATTTGTCACTGAAGTAATCTGGTTTTGAGATGTTCTTTTTGATAAGCTTTTTAATTAATTCAATTCTACTTGTTGCTGATCTATCCCGATTGTCTATTTCTTCTTGAGCCAGTTTTGTAGTTTTTGTCTTTTTTAGAAATGTGTCAATTTCACTTAGATTATCTAATTTGTTAGCATAAAGTTGCTCATAGTGTTCCCCATAATCATTTTTATGTATATAAGGTCACTAGGAAAGCACATCTTTCATTCCTCATTTTAGTAATTTGAGTGCTCCTTCATTTTTTTTTTGGATCATTGTGGCTAAATATCTGTCAATTTTGTTTTCAAAGAACTAACTTTTGGTATCTGTTGACTTTGCTTGATTTTATTTTATCTCTTGCTTTTTCTATTCTCTAATTTATTTCTATTCTAGTCTTTATTATTAATAATTTCTATCTTTTTATTGATAGTCTCTACTTTGTTCCTTAGACATGATTTCTTTAATTCTTTGAACATATTGAAAATATGTTCTTTGTTTAGTAGGTCTAGCATCTGAGTTTCTTCAGAGACAATTACTATTGATTCCTTTTTTCTTCTGTGAATGATCTGTACAAACTGATTCCAACTTACATTGGTCTGATTTACAATTTTTGACTTTACAGTAGAATGAAAGTGATATACACTAAGTACTGTCTTTTTCATGTTTGTTATAGTCTGTCTTGTAATCTTTTGTTGAAGACTAGACATTTAAAATAATATAGCAACTCTGAAAATTAGAGTTTAACCCTTTCTCAGTGTTTGTTGTAGTTGTTGCTTATTTTTCTTGTTGTTTGATAGTTCAATGTCTTTTTAAACTGTTTTTATAAATGTTTGTTTTCTTTGCTATGGATGTCCATAGAAGCCACAACTCGGTTAGGTCAGTGGTCAGCTAATAATTGAACAAAGATTTCTTTACACCAGAAATCTATACATCTCCCATTCTTTGTGGAGAGGCTATGTGTGCATCTTGGGGCATGCTTTCAACACTCAGCTAAGCAGTTGAAAAGTACTTTAGCTTTTACATCCCACTTGGACAGAGCCTCAAAGCTGGCTATAAGTGAGAGCTTAGGTCCTTCTCATATCTTTCCATAGCATGAATAGAGCCCTGGGCAAATGTATGGCCTTCTACATTCCCAAGAATACACGGGA